AAAATCCTCTAATACAATTGGACCAAGTAGGGCTGAATATAAAGGATATTGGTGTAAATTTACCAAACTTCACCAGTAAATTGCAAATGTACTATAGAGGAAGAGGGACAATTTACTATAGGAAAACTTAAGAAAGCCATAGTTTACAAATATGGTTTACTGTTAAGTGTTGAAAGATTAATGTTTCACATAATTAAAATTCTTGATAGAAGAAAGTGTGAGTAATGGAAAATCAGGAAAACATACATTTATAAGAGTCCATATTTTCTTATGACTCATTTTCCTAAAGTAAAAGGAAAAAAAAATTTCAGAAGAGGGTAGGAAAAACTGCTTACTCTCTCCAAACAATTAAGATACCTAGCAAAAGAACTGGGATAAGTCTAACAGTAGTTTCTGTAAGTTATTAAAAAGAAAAAAGATACTCAGATACTGGTCTTGGTTTCTGTTGTTAATATTAATCAAATTAACAATAAAATAACAAAAAAGCCATTCTAATTTGCCATTCTAATTTACCAGGAAAGAACATAATTAAAATTTTATTTGCGATCACATTTGCTGGCCAAACTTTTAACAAGCTATAGATTTGAAAGTATCAAACTGTATCTATCTATAGACATACAGGTATATACTCACATGTATGTATAAATAGGTGTCTTTGTGTTTATGCATATACCTATATCCACAAATATCTAGCCTTACCATAAGTTATTGAAATAATATAAAAGCACTTTCCTCAGAGTCGAACTCTCTTATGTATTTTTGAGAAAATTCACAAAAATATTCCTCAGAATACAGTCAAAACATTCTATCATCTTGTATTCTGTTCAGAGGCTATTTTGAGTTATTGTGTTCTGATATCCCTCAAGGTTTCCAAAGGTTAAGGGCAGATACCTGTTTTCTTTCCTAACAAAATTTGGGGGAACTTTGTAAAAGCAAATTAAAGCATGTCAGACCTCTTTAAAAAAAAAAGAAAAACCACTTCTCTTCTTTCAAGAAAGTTTTTATGTAGCAATAGGAAAAAAAAAAAAGAGCATTTCAAACAGTTCTGAAAACACAACTGAAACACAATTTGATAAATAGCCTTCCATCATCCAAGCCAGAGGAGCGGAAAAGC